CGCGATTGCCGTATATTGTATGAAGTCCTCCCTCCAGCAAACATATCGAGCTCCTTTCTTGAGGCGCAGAGTGACCAGGAGTATGTCAAGGAAATCTCGCGTAACGGACGCCACCCGACCCTTTCGCGGTAGGCAAAACAGGCGCTACACTTACACGAAGCTTACGCGACGAAACAGCTCGCGTCAGCAAGGCAGCAAAGCAGCGTTCTTGTTTGCGTCCGTCTGCAATAGATCCTGACGAAAAAGACGACCGCACCCCCCAATCAGCATCGCGACGACCATCCCATGCCTCTGCCAAAGGTCCATGCACGCTTTCGCGTGTGGCGCCCAGCGTGCCTAGCAATACCAAACCTAGACTAAAGCTGAACCCCGAATTCCTGAACCTTAAACATAAACCCAAAGCAGCAAACCCGAAATCGACCCAACCTAAACCTTGGGACGCGCTGCCAGCAATGGACCGCCAGCTGACTTCCCTGCATGCTGCACTATGTAATATGTCTGTAGTCTCCCCCCAGTCTTTCCGCATTCTTTTTATTTCATACGTGCAAAGACTTGCCTCTGCTAAGTGCAATATTCAGTGGGCCGCCGACTTGCTGGCAAGGGTTTCATCATGTGGTGTTGGGGCTCACTTGGCCCTGCCTGCCACTGGTTGCTTTTTCCTCCTTGTCGTTTTAAAGTGCTTCTGTATAGCTGTAGAACTGAAAGGACGTGCCTTTGCACAACCAAAAAAAGCACGATGCGTTTCTTCTTGTGTTCGAAGCCATCGCAGGCTAGGAACAACTCTGGTCGGCTTCCCCAAAATCGGGGAGGAATAAATGAAGACCACGTCTGTGAGCTCAGGGTTTCATAACCTTTGGGGGTTCAAACATTGAGCCTCTCAAATGGGCGATCAACTCGTTCTGGTTCCGCCTTCTCGAGGTCTTTACCCCAATTGAGCGGCGAGTAGGGGCCAAAGAAGTACCCGCTCTGCACACCCCGCAGGTCCTCCATGATGATGTGCCTTGCCAGGCCAAAGGGCTTCGCGGCTTCAGTCTTCATGGTTCAGAAAGCCCGGAAATCCCCATCCTAATCCGTACACTGGGACACCACTACACCAAGAGAAACGACTAGCATGTGGTATAATAACAACGGACTTATTTTGAACAACCCAGCCTGTATACGCCTTAAACAAAGGGTACACCTCAGCCATCCCAACACCAACATAAACTCACGCAGCACTTACCAAACAGTGTGTTCACGCCTACAATAGCCTATAAGCATGAAGTGCCTAGCCTTACATGCCTCGCAAGATGCACTGAGCTGGTCTATGAACCTGTTGGGTGAAGCCAAGCCAACATGGTGATCAGAGCAGCGTTCGCGTTTACATAGCCTGTAACAAGCGTGTAACAAGATCGATCCCAACACAAAAGAACCTCTCAAGCTTGCAACGAACTTAGGCCATCCAGAACCTGCGTTCCTGCGCAATTTGCCCAGAACAAGGTTCTATGTGATTTCCTCCCGTGCAACCCCAAGGGTAATCAAGGTGAACAAAAGGTCCGACAAAAGTTGCGCTGCAGGCAAGAGCTAGAAACACTGGATGAAGAAGCTGACACCAGGGGTGCCGCACACAGCGTGTTAGAAGGGTAGAAGTTGAGCAATTTGTAAAGGGACTCCAAATCAACCAAAACCAAGCTTGTACCCATGAGGTTTGGTCATCTTTTAGAAGCTCGGAGCACCCCTGGGCAAGCTTGAACATCTTTGCAAGCGATCTTCGCAGCAAACACCAAACATGTGCGGGTCAGGCGCTTCTCGCCGGTGGTCAAGTCCCCCTGAGCAAAGAAAATCTTGGGAAGGACGCCCGCAAGGGCCGTGCTTTCTGCGAGCTCCTGGCTTCAACTCATGGCGAAGGCACGGGGAACGTGTGAATATGAGGGTTGAAATCAATGAGAGCTGGCGCCTTCCACACCCCCGTGCGAGTATCATGTGAAGTGGTTGCTCGTAATCCCACCTTTTCATCCCCTAAAGAACAAGGCACCGACTCGCCCATGTTGTTTCCTTGTCCAGCTTTGCAGCAAAAGGAATACTGGCAAAGCAATGAATCCGCAGTACATCAACGGAAGTATGTGCTCCACCAGTCTCTACCCTTTCATCTGACTGTTAAGCAAATCCCAGATTCAGTGACTCCACTTCAGCAGGACTTGGTTCAGGCGTGGCAGGAAAAAGCAATTGAGAATGGGGCAGGGTCAGAAATCTGTGGCCAACAAGCTGGCCTTGATAAAGAGGTCAGGGCCCAGTCAAATTTCAGAACGCTGTAACGAACAACCTGTGCAGAAAGAACATCACGGCACATGAGTGCGGAAGCCAACTAGCTGGCCTGAAGCCCGGTGTGGGCTATCAATGGGTCAGAGTGATTCGTTTGAATATAAGAGACTGGGTGTTGTGCTGGGAGGCCTTGGAAAAGGCAGGCATGCATAAACATGAAAGAGGCCAACTAACTAGCTGGCCTGCGAATGGTGGCAGGGCTAACTGGTGGCCAGCGGCCGGTGCACCGGTGGCCGGGGCGGGGGCCGGCCGCGGGCCAGTGGCCGGGGGCCGGTGGCCGGGGGTCGCGGGGGCGGTGGCTGGGGCCAGGGGGGCCCAGTGCCCGGTGGCCGGTGGCTGGTGGCCGGCGGCAAAAAAGACCATGTGATATATATATATATATATATTTATATATACACACATTATGTACACTATGCACACGCATGAGAACTTGTCAGAGATCAATCCCTTTGTTCTCCATGTTGATGGACCAGGACTTGTCTAGAAGCATTGCGCGTCACCCAAGAGCACGGTTGCACACTTTCCCCCCTCCTTTTTCGCACACACCGAAACCAAGCATATCCGCTCAAGTCATCCCTATAGGGTAAGCATCGTCGACCATGGTTGAGGAACTTATTGGGGACTCCGAGTGAATCCGTTGTATATAGATGACCTTCAAGCCAGTAATCTTAATTGGAGGGGCAACTTATTGGGGAGAAACCCAAAGGCCCCCTCCCACAAAGGAGAGGTTCTTAGAACCTTCTTCGGGGTCCGGGGTTCTTAGAATCGGCTCTTATCAACCAATGGAGGGCCCCGTGTCTCGTTCGCTCCTGGTAGAAGCAGGCCTCCCGGGCGAGGCCAAGATCTCCACTCATGCCGTGGCCGCCCTGCACATGGTCTGATTCATCTGCCCCAATGGTCTTGCAGGACCCCCAATTCGGTTCCATGTTGGATATCAACATGTTGATAATATATTATGCTACATAATCAACAAACATCACCAAGCTGCATTGAGGCCTCCCTAGGGGATCTTGATCATGCGGTGGAAACGTTCGTTCTAGTCCACGTAAGTTTGATGTAATGGGCGCAGGTCTGCGCATGTCTCAAATGGAAAGCCAATTTCAAGGGATGGAAAGGCCTTCTTTCACTTCTGCTGTTTTCAATTCCTATCTTGGCACACTCACCCGCCACCTCAGGATCAAGACCTTGGGACGTCGTTGTTCAATACCAAAGTTGGCCCAGGCCTAAGAACATCCCCTCCTGGATGTGGGGAAATGAGAGCCTGTGGAAAACCAAACCATTCTTGAAACGTCACAACCAAACCATTGCAGTTACGATGCATCACGGCAAGCTACTGCCGCAACTTGCGCTGGCCGAGGTCCCACATCTCGTTCAGTGCCAATTGAAGGCGTCAGGCGGTCGAAACACCTAGCATCAAAGCATGTTTCCAACGCTCCAGCTCTCACTGGCGCCTCGCGCACGCGCTTGTAGACCATGCTGGATGAGCTGCCATCGCCGAAGCTAAGGTGTAGCCGCACCATGAGACAGCTCATGCCCCCCGCCGCACTCATGTCCTCCCAAAGCTTCTTGGAGTAGCTTCCCCGTTCTGAACCCAATCCTTTCTAGAACTCCAAACGGATGGCTTCTAAAACGAACGATAGTGGCAAACTACGGGGAATCGGATTTTAAAGAGTCGCACAGACCAACAATGTAGCACCTTTGCAACAAACGCGTGCAAGCCCCCAAACCTCCAATCCAAACCGATGATTATGGCCTGAGACAATGCGTGTCATCTCACATAACTCTATAATCCGTCCTGTTTGCATATTTGTTCTGTTCCCATTCGTCTGTGCTATTCCATCTCGATTCGCAAAAGAGTCCCCCTGTGATTGAAACAGTTCATTCATCTTATTCAAACATCAAGGGAATGCTGTTTATAAAGTATCTGTTGCCTTCAACAAGCTGAAGGTGAGTGCCATGTATCCATCTTTGGAGCCTGGTCATGTTGCCTCCCTGTCCTTCTTGAATGCATGCAACCAACACGCTGTGTGTGAAAGTATCCGCTCATGTTGCCTCACAAAGGATTGCACGTTCGTACCTGAACAATTACAACCATCCATCATGAATGTGGAGCGGGGGGGAACCCAAAAGGAAAATAGTTTTCAAATATCCCTGTCAGCTTCCATGATTGGAGTCTATGGTTTCAGCTATCAGCAGCTGCGGCTGGTTGGCCTTCACATACCTACCTCAGCTTTTACCCCCCCCACAAGACATGGGTTCAATTCTGGCCCAACTTGTTTTGACCTCGATATCACGGCAGTGGCGCCGCGTAAATCCCTCTTTGCTTGGTGGACTCCCCACGAACGATCTCAAAGTCCTCCACCTTCACCGTCGTGACATCCCGCTGCAAACGTGAGGCAAGCCATTCGGCAGAGATGTCCATGGCGGATGGGCCAAGTGGTCAATACTGAGTCCAGTGAAACGTTCGGTGGAACCGGTTTCCCATGTTTTAGGGTGAACTCCACGTGGGACTTCTCCCTCCAGAAGGCTGTGCAACACGTCTCAGGGCTGTGCGCCTCATGGTTTAGCAGCGAAAAGCTGGGTGCCAAGCCGCTCTAGCATGCCAAGGCGATGTGGGAAGCGCTCCGTCGCAAAGCCATGCCAACAAGCGTCAAAGCGTCTTTAGTGGTTTTTCACAAGGCTTGCTCCCACGGCCAAGCCTCTGCGTTCTGCGTGCTCTGCGCAGCCTGAAGGCTTTGCGTCTTTGGCTGGTCCGCGACCTCCACACCTGCAACAATTGCCATTTTCCCCGCCACAAAGATATTTTGTCGCGGAACTGAGGTTCTCAATCTCCAGAGCCCCACTCAGACTCGTTGATTGAATTCTCCTAAAATGGCTTTTGGCGTGCCCATGCACTGCACCAGAACATAAGAACATGGAGAAAAGTGAGTTTGTACCCGAGCCAAGCAACCAACCTGGGGGCTGCGCTCCAAAATAAACAGTTGGGTACCCGCGTGACCTCAGCGATATGTCAAAGCCAAACGCGCGCACCTACTTTGGCGTTCACACCTGAATCCCTGCATGTCGATGGCACGTGCTCATCCAACAAAAGGTTGAGATGAATCATACAATGAAAGCTTCAGAAGGAGTTGCAAGCCAGGATCCCCATATGGCACACTTTCTTCCAACGAACATCGAGAGGAACGCAAAATAAAGCTTAAATACGCGTTGCAAATCAGAATGTCCGTGGCACACACGCATCCAAGAAAAGGCCGAGACTCTCATACAACAAGCTTGAGTATGCATCTAACATATCAAACCCAACTCCCCTTGTCGCACTCTCAGCAGCACTTAACAAGAGATGCCGTGACTTCACCTAACCAAGTATTTTAGGAGACAATTTGAGTCGGGCATGAAATGTGGAGCCTATGCCTCCAGTCCCTGAGCCAAAGCAACCAGACCTGGCAGATCATCGAAGTCGAAGAAGCCTTGCTTCGACGCTGCAGACCTCAGTTTTCCAGTCCGAACCAAGACACGCTTGTTGTTTCAGGGCTGACAGCTGCACACTGTGCGAAGAAACCCAGGCAATCTGAAAACTCAGTCACGAGCGCAGCTAAAGCACCAATGGAGATGATTTGAAAACTCATCTAGACACCCCTGATGGGGGATGGTTGTGTGGTAGACTTCAGAGTTGGGCCAACTCCCTTGCTTAAACATGTTCAAGCCACTATTGTTCAAACAACCTCGTTGCGGCTCCCTTTGAAGTGGACCAAACGCAGGTTGCTTGCCCTGGGGGACTGACTTATTTGTTGAGTTTCACGTTTTTCGCCACAGTGTCACAGCAAAGAACGCTGCACTGTGGGCCATTGTAGCAACCCAGTGGTTGTTGTTGGCCCTGTGTTTACCTCGCAGATTGCCGAGTTTGGAAGGCCCGTTTATGGAAACCGGCTGGAAAGCAAAAGCCATCCAAACCTGCAACATGAACACAGTAGTAGTAAGCCTGGCTGTGCCCGACTTATATCATCTTTATATATTTATACACACATGCAATAGCAATCATACTGAGAATCATAATCACAATCACAGTATTATACTAACAATACTAACCATAATAACAATAATACATAACATTGGCGATAATGACGATGACAACAACAACACTAATATACAACTAGTTTTAATACACATAAACATCGTCAGCATCACCATCATCATAATCATATAAGAATGCATGTTACAACAACATAAGCACCAACAACGTAGTAATACGACATTTTACATACTTTGCTAAACATGTATTCAACATGCATTGATGCAACATGACTACGGTTGCACTTTCACTGATCACCTGTTTCAGCCAATGTCGCCACTGAACCCTATCAAGAAGCAGCCGTAGAGGCTTGCAGGCAGAAGCACACAACTGCATATCAATACTACTCCAACGGATCCATCAAGAACATAGTCATTGCCATCGACACGCAATCGCAACAGCCTCTGCAACCACAAAGCATGCCCTCAAGTTATGCCTTTCACCTGCGATCCAATATATTCGCAACAGGCAAAGATCAGCAAAGCAAGCGCTTCGGAGAACATCTTCGAGTGCACAATTCAACATGCATGTGGGTATTTGTCAAACGTTGGAGCCCCGCATTGTGTTGTATGTTGACCCCGAAATATAAAAGGCTTGGTGCTAGCTGTCTCTGTGTGCCACCTGGCTCCCTACACGGTAAAAGCTTGGGGGCAGTCTGCCAATGCTACGCTTGGAAATTGGATTCACGGCTAAGAGCTTTCGTATTGTCCTGGTACTTAATCCTGGGGCGATGACTGTGAATTGTCCAAGGACCACGTCTTATCTGGTAAAGCCCAGAGTTCAGAGTTGCGGAGGATGACGTATGTAATACTGTGCGGAAATATCAAGGTTGGGCACCAGGCTAATCATGGCACAAATGCGAAGAGGACAATTATGAGATGGATTTGGGGAAGCTCCTGCACATATCGCTCGTGGAAATTACGACCTTTAGAATGCAATTGGAGAAAAAGAAAAACAATCAAGCAAACAAATAGCCCTCTTGAAAGTCAAATCCTTGGACGGGGATTGTCTTGACCTCAGATCTGGTGCTGAATTTGATCGTCGGGTCCACTTCAAGGATCCCCTCCATCTCTCCCGATGCCGCGAGGGCGCACTTCGGCCCGCTCTCGCTCGAAGGACTCGTGGAAGCGCAGAATCCTTGGCTCAGTGTACGCCATACGCAGCCTGCAGACCCACACTGGGCCAGTGTGATTTGGGATGGAAGTTTGCGCAAATTCATGGTGAAGGGTCTTTGGACAGGGTTCCTTACACCTCCCATTTAGACTTTTCAAGTAGACTCATGTTAAAATGGTCTGAAAGGTGACGTCTAAATTTCAATATGAACCCCCCTCAAGCATAGTTTACAAACACAAAATCCTCGCGCAAATGACATCAAATGATATCCACCAAAGGGATCTGACACAAAGACCTGTTCACAAGGGTAGAAACTAGCTCCCTGAAAAAGGAACACGAGAGGAATACAAGAGGACCCTTTGCCCTTCTACCAACTTCTACGTTGTTTGGTCATCTTTTCGAGGCTCGGAGCAGGCCTGAACAGACCTCAGATCACTCAGATCACCCGCAGGGATGCTTAAACTGGCTGCAAAGGGAAATGCAGGGACCCCCGTCACTGGAAGTCTGAGTCCCGTTGCAGCCCGGGCGCTCTGACAACACCTGCTGGTCGCACGGCAGCTGCGCTGAAGCGCGCTGATGCCGTGGGAAGACCTGAACGCGGGAAGGGAAAGCAAAGCCAAAGCTTGGCACGCTGGGTAGAGGATTCAAAAACCTTGGGGGGAACAAACAAGCACAAAACAAGTGCGAATAAACACCAAAAAATAGAAACATCACAATCACATCTTTCCCAACAAACTGGAGTCCAAAGCTTGGTCATGCATGAAGGTGCCTTGAGACCTTTGCAGCGCTCAATGACTTGCTGGTACGTCCAAATGCCCAGGCGCATCCTCCGAACTAGCTTTACACAATGCTGCAAAGTGGCAAGCAAGGCATACCTTCAACGATTAGCATATCAACGCCCGTGAAGTCATACAGCCTCGACTTGTAAGGCCTCCCAAATTCGGTTTGCATGTTTGGTCACTGTGAAGCAATGCCATGTTCAAGCGTTTGAATGTTTCGCTTTGGACAAAAAAGAAAAGCCACTGGTATGGTTTGCCATTCTCAAGTTTAGCTCTGATGTCTTGCTGGCTGTCACAGCCCATCGATGAGTAGTGCTTTGCATCTCCCTGGCAAAGCCGGCCTCGTCTGGCACCATGTCTGCACAGCATGGCTTGGCAGGGCATAAGATAAAAGGTTAGGTCAATCAAGATGATGCCTTCCTGCATGCATCATGGTCAACACTCAGCGCATCAGGTACAGTGTTGGCTCCCTTGACAGGAACCCTTGTAATAGTCTGACATCTTTGCAATGAGTTGCTGAACCTGGTCTGGCAATGGCGCATGGGTACTCGAACCCCGGCTTTCTGTGCGCCAGGAACTGGTCTGGAGTTCTGCTTTTGCATCTTCCAAGCCAAGTCCATCTGGAAGTTCATCCCAACTACAAGAGGCCACCGTGGCCACCTACTTGAAAGGGACATTGTTTCTTGAAGCTCACTTGACTTTGCTCAAGTTTGACTTGTTTGCCTTCAATGAGCACATCATTTTGGCCAGGTTTCCATAAATCGCATTGAAAGGTCCGCAAAATCATTGCCAGGCTCAGGACAAAGCGGCCAAGCACCTTGTTACTTCTGGGCCGTTGCAGAATGATAACCCTCCCACAAACAAGAAGACAAGAAGGAACCTAACATCTTTGCTTTTTATGAATGTTACGTGCTGAGAATAAGGCACTCCAAAACAATCTTTCATGAGATGCTTCGCCCCCGGTGAGGTTGTTGTAAGTCACCCAGGCCGGGAACAAAGGATGACTGACATTTAGCCAGGTAGCAGCTCATGGTGTGTATGTCCAGTGCCTGATCCTGCCCAACTCTGTTTGCCTTCTTTTACCCGAGAGAATCTCATCCCCAAACTCGGTCGCGGAGACTCCATCTCGGAGTGTGAAGCGAGGTCTCAGCCGAGCGGCTGTGATGAAAAAGGGAGAGAAGTGCGACGCATTCGAAGGTCGCAAGCACCACAATGCCGCAGTCAGCGAATGCCACCAGCGAAGTTCATGACTGCCTTTGGCAAAGGTTTGTATGGAAACGACGCAGTGGCAAACCCTCGGCCGCCCTTGAAAGGCATCGTTGCAGGGGCAATCGAAAGTCCGTAAAGCAACATCGGGTTGCGCATGCAAGCGCACTCCATACGTATCTATACGAATTTCAACGCACAATGTAAGTGTATGCAAGTGTTTGATAAAACTCACAGTATGTTCAAGCTCAAGTGCTGCTTTCACGTCACACTACATCGCTGTTGCCAATGAATGCCGTCAGTTGGTAGGATGAAGTGGACCAGCTTCATGTTCATTCTAAAGGTCCTGTCAAATCTTTTGCGCTGCCAACTTTCTTGGGCCGTTTCTTTTGAGAACACCGAGCGGTCCAAAGCTGCACTTTGCGTCGCAGGAAATGGCGAGACTAGCCCCCGCAGGGGCTGGGTTGCTAGACAGCATGCGGCTAGCAGCGGCTGGCAGGGCGACTCGGCGGCTTGGCAGATGTGGCGGACTTGCTTCTTGAAGAGGACATGCAATTGGGTGGGCCCCTTGGTTTCTTGTGCGGCATGTGGGGCCTCCGTGTCCTCCCAACCGCGAAACACCAGTGACATTGTCACAACCAGGGAACCAACCAGCTCTGAACACGGCATGTGGGTGCAGAACTCTGCAAGGTTCATACTGTGGTCCTTGCGGAAAGGTACAAAGGCCTAGGCATTGTGAGTAAACCAATAACAAACCTTGCTACCGTCTGAGCACTCCAAGCTGTACGCTGTAGGGCCCGACTTTGGAGCACTTCTCAAGAAGGTGAGCGCTCCCCTGGTCACCCGCAATTCCACATTACAGCTCTTTCAAGAAGCTGATTAGAGAGACAGGTACCTTGTTGGGGTGTACGTTGAAACTTATTTTACTTACACCGGCCTCTTTCCACTCCCTGGCGCATTTAACAACAGGCCAAACAGAGGGTGCATTCCTGTTGTTTTGTCTTGCCGAGCGGTTCTTTTTAACATCTTGGTAGTGAATATAGGCGACGACGTTTTCCCGCAATTGCAGGCACGGTTTTGTTAGGGGAATCTGCAATACTGCCGAATCTTCCTTGACTAAGACACACTCATGTATATCAGCCTCGGCCAGCGTCCCGCCGCCTCTACTGCTAGGAAGTCAGGACTCCTGGTGCTGACTCACTTGCGCAATCAGTAAGCAGTAAGTATCACAAGGCATGCCGGACTTCATTCCCCTCCACGAGTCTCCAAAAGCAAAACAAATTCCATTTGAACAACATTCAACTTGCTGTCTTCGCCCGAAGTGAACGCACGTTCTGCGCGGGAATAAAGCTGGCTGGTGCAACGAATTCGTCCACCATCAAAATCCAGGTCAACTCTGACAGTTGTCAGCCAGGCGGTCGTCGCTCAAAGGAGAGCGCTGGCATTTACAACAAAAACGAACTTCGATACTTGCGTTTGTCTCGAAACAAACAGGCCACTGGACGCTCAAATGTGGACGGCCCTAAGGCCGTAAGTTTCCATTTCGAATCCTCCAGAAAAATGAACATCCTGCTCGACACTTGCAAACCGATCTGCATTTGTTTTGATGGGCTTCGCCACTGCAAATCACGACACAGGTAGCCACGTGGTTGCCAACACATTGCAACATCGCATGCACGTACGTAAGCCCTGGGTGCTTACAAACCATACAATATCTGCCAGTCACATAGAACACCTTCGACTGGACCCATCAGAGTGTAGGGTTGACATCGTGTGCAGCGAACGCTCCCCGACGGCAGCTGTTTGGAGCGCTCAAGCTTTGCCCTAAATGTCAACCCGTGTCAATTCGGCGCCCACAAGTCCGGAGAGATCCAGGATGCTCGAGCAGCTCTTTCAAAAACATTGCAAGTAAAAGCAGACGCGGTTATCATATGATATCATAATAAACCGACAAGAAACAACAACTTCCACGTCGCTCTACGGTCCGGGCAGCTAGCTAAACTCCCCCCCCCCAGCCCCACCTGCACGCAGATCATGGCATGGACATGGCAACAAATGCTAGGTGCTTTAAAGGCAGTCATCGACCGGTGCTTCAATTTGGGGAGAATGGCTTTGCATGGCTTGTCCGAATCCACTCGCCCTGTGACCAAAGGGACCCGAGGAATTTGCCAGCTTCAGCAGTTACATCCTGCTCACAAAGTGGTGCTGGACCCATGCCACTATTGCCACTATCATGTGCTGCAATGATGCAACCAACGATTTAGAGTAGTGGCGTGACCGTGCTCGGAAGAAAAGCTTCACAAAGGGGCAACACAGTTCTGCATATACAAACAGCGTGCCGGGCAACCCCTGATCTAAATATGCGATGTCGGGGATATGGTCATAAAGATCGATAAGGGCGACAGTCGTCATTATTATCATCATCATCACCATCATCACCACCACCATCACCACCATCATCACAATCACTATCACCAGCATCAGCATCAGCAGCATCAGCATCCGCTTCAGTATCATCCTCAGCATCATCGGCACTATCATTGAATCATCCATCGTGCCACCTACTGTCTGCTATGCATCATCGCAAAAATATTCAAGCCTCCAACAAGACAGACCCCTTTGTCATCCTCGCGAATTCCGTCATGCTTCATGCTTCCAGTAAAACGACGGGACGGAGACAACGCCTCATGTCTCTGTGGGGCATACTGGATCCTCATAGTTGATGGGATGCGTGTTGATACCAGCACATTCACCGTGTTGTAAAAAAAAAGAAGCCAATTCAACAGGTATGGTTCACCTGCCTCATATCTCAAATCCGCATGTCCTTACTGCTATTCCCTGGATACATGGACTCAACCCAGATCGCCAAGTCTTTACCTTGTGCAGCAAAAAAAGCTGAGTGTTGCACTTGGATTCTCCCGCGGGCCGATTTGTTCTACTCAAGCTCGGCTGCAAGCGCCTGGCTGTGGCAGGTTGGCAGCCACGTGTCCGGACTCGAAAGACAGACAAATCCCTGACATGGCTGAAATGGCACATGTGCATAGTATGCAAGTATGACATAGGCGTAGTTGGTCAGTGGAGAAATGATGTGCGAAACAATTGCTGGGACTCTCCTCGAATTGCACACAAGGGGCAACACGAGCGGGTTGGTTATCCTTGTAACAAGCAAACAATGAATCCCAACGGTCTTGATGTAAACTCCTATTAGTTGCAAAGCAAATCCTCAGCAGCGAGTCACCGTTGGTGCTTGCAAGCCCCGAAATTCATGTTTCTCTGCTTGAAACCGTTTTGAGAAGCACCCCGCAGTGACTCAATTGACGACAACAACAAATAACGCGTACACATCAACATGCAATGCCAACGCCGAGCTGAACCTCGCGCTTTGCGCGCCTCAGCGGTGTTCTGGGCTGCTTGCTGCACCACATCCCGCAGCGGCCGGCCGCCGGGGAACACTTGGGAACCCACGTGGCGGATGAGACCTGGCGGCACTCAAAGCTGTCCGAGAAAAGTAAATATGCGCTTACACCTTCACTCAAAACATGTGCCAGTCCGGAAATTGAGAAGATGGAAAGCACAGCCTACTAAGCAAAAACGTTCAACCATCCAACCCCGTTCAAAATGACACCCTGAATTTGACACATTGGATGGCACTCTGATCCGCATGACCAGGCCATGAAACTGCCATGAGCTTCAAAACAAGCGTGCAAACATAATGCTCAAACGAAGCAGCGCATCTCATTCATACCGAAACGTGTGGACATTGAACCCAGGGGCTTCAATAAGGGATCCCAATCCTGCCAAGAAGTTCCAAAAACCATTCTCACCAACTGTCTTATCTGAGCAATCACTCGATGACGTTCACAATATGATCTGCTCCATCTCTGCTGGAGACCCCGATGTCCCAAGGCGATGGACAATTCGTGGACCTCATGAATTGTGCGCAATATGTCAAGACCAACACGTTGCCAATCGGTTGGAGCAGTCCCTGGCTTCGGCACACGTCTGATGACGTGAACCGGGCTTGGTGCGAACTGCGGCGCGCCAACGCCAAACGCCTTCTTTCATCTCGGTTTGCGAACAGTCTGCGAAATGCCAGAAAGGAATCTGAACGAAATTCCAGCACCCGCCTGTGCTGCAATTCTGCATGCTGGCAGGGGCGAATCACGAGGCGTTCAAATCTAGTGGTGCTCTACGTAAAGACAGAAGGGCTGTCCCTCGCTACTGGGTATCACGCATGAGGCTGCCGAGGAAGCTGAGGCTCAGCGCCATTGAACATGACGGAGTAGACGTCCCTGCAATGCTGCGAGTTGTCTAGGAAGTTGAGCCGCTTGACGCTGCCACCTACATTGCTCCACTCGCTCTTAATTTGCGCGGCGAACCTCTTCCAGCCGTTCTGCTTCGCTCTTGCAAGCGAATCCCAGAATTGATCGTTGTCGTAATACCAAAGCCACTCCATCAACTCTGATTTGGCTTGAAGATGTCCATCCTTCTTCATCGGTCTTGGCTTCTCGATGCGATTCACCAGCTGCCAGACATTGATAGCATGTGACGAATTGTCCAAAAAACTCAGATCGCCAACAGCGCCGCCTGCCTGCTGCCAAGCCACTCTGACCCGTTTCGCAAAGGCTTTCCAATTTTTCTCCGCAGCCAGTCTCGCCAGGTCTTGCCAAAAGCCCTCGTCCTCGTAGTACCGCAGCCAATCGACCAACTGGGCCTTTATGATCCTATACTTGTAAGCGTGCCCCATGGCAACTGCAGGGATGGGCGGAGACAAAGGCAAGTGCGCAGATGGCTGCGCTCTCTCATCCAACACATTTGCAAGCCAATATCCACAGGAATCCGGGTTTTCCTAGCGACCAGAAATATCAAGAACCCAACTGAACTGCATCATCACCATGTCCTGAAGCAAGGCCACTATCAACCACCATCCAAGGTTGGTTTAGCTTGCATTCTTCCAGCTGCGATGTTGGCATGTGTACATGACATGTATGTGTATGCGTACAAATATATATATATATATATAGTTGGAGGATAGCATACCTAGAAACTCATTCGGCAGCAAAGCCGGATTCTGAAATGCATCAAATTTCAGCCGAAGTCACAGACATTTGCCGGAATCAGCAAAAACAGCTGGAATCAGACCGCTGAGGCTCAAGGATAATAATACTCGTAGTCTCTGGACTGGACTCAAGTTTCCCATTCGGAAAGTTGTGCGAAAGTTTCGCCGGAATTGCGGAAAGTTGTGCGACACAAGCCGCCAAAAAACAAAGCAATAATCATGCTCAAACTGCCAGTTGAAGAATGGCCAAGAGGCAAAAAATGGTCGGAAATGCAAATATGATATGTTTTTGTTTTTCCTCGAAAAAGGCTATTATTTTGGGGCATTTTGATTTTCTAGGTGTATATATATATATATATATGTATATTATATATGTGCGCCAAAACAGGTAGCCCTCGTATTGGCTTCATATTGGTATCCTTTTGAACCACCAAGCCGGTCACCAGTTTTGACACATAGCCACGCGGAAACAATATACAGTTTTCCTCTCGTGCTGACACCAGCCGGCCTGGGTTGCCCCCAAGCGGCTGCAGAATTTGGCTGGCCACCAAAAGCCTTGGGTCGGTCGGGGCAAAGGTTTGCGGCCGGTCCCGTGTGTTCATGCATTTGTTGTTGGACCTGTAACACCGCTTCATCCGCACTAACAGAACAACTCATGAGTTTCCTGGCCTGGCTAGTTACGCAAGTTAGCCCTTTAATAAGCCCTCGTGCAAGGCATGTGCAAGGCTTTTTGCCTTGCACAACGTGCGGCACAGTTTCCGGTCAGTCTCCAAAAACATGATGGTTTCATGCCCTCTTCCCGCAACAGAGAACACGTTGCCCCTTCCCGTCCCAGACAAGCATCGGTCAGAACTGAGTGCCCATGTAACATCGCTTTATAACTACTATGTGTGTGTACGAGATGGTATGCGGCACAAGTAACAAGAAAATGTGCATAAGTATCAGCTTGATACCTGCTCAAATAAACCCCTTCAACAGACCACTTCCATTCAACAACAAGGTGTGGGAACTCCATCTTCCATTAGCAGGGGCCAAAGAGGAGGCAGTGAAGTTCCATCCTTTTCCCTAACCCTGTTTGTGCGAGCCAAACGCTCAATTTCTGAGATGGGGTTGGACCGTTGCAGAGCTGACAAATAAAAACAGGCTATTTGGCCAGATATAAGGTAGGGATCCCATTTCCCCACCCCTCTTTGTTGGGGGGGCAGGGCCAAGAACGAGGTAGGGACGATTCCAGCCTTTCTCCCTACCCTACTGGTCCGAGTCCCAAAATCTACGCACACACACACACACACCCGCGCACGCACCCACGCACGCACCCACGCACGCACGCACGCACGCACACATGCGCACACGCAGACACGCAGACAAACAGACAAGCAGACACACGCAGACACATGCAAACATACGCAGACACACGCAGACACACGCAGAAACACGCAGACACACGCAAACACACGCAGACACACGCAAACATACGCAGACACACGCAGACACACGCAGAAACACGCAGACACACGCAGACAAACGCAGACACGCGCAAACACGCGCAAACACGCACACCCGCACACCCGCATACACATACACACACACACACCCACACGCACGCACACACGCACACAAACACACACACAAACACACACACACACAAACACACACACAAACACACACCAAAACAAACAAACAAACAAACAAAAACAACAAAAAACAAACAAACATACAAACAAACAAACACACAAACAAACACACAAACAAACACACAAACAACACACAAACACAAAACAAAACACACAAACACACAAAACACAAACACACAAACACACAAACAAACACACACACACACACACACACACACACAACGACACACACCGACACGCACACACACAGGCACAAACACACACACAACAACACACACAACACACACACACACACACACATACACACACACACACACACACACACACACACACGCACAAACACAAACACGCACACACACACACACATGCAACGCCGCAACATGCACACACACACACACTGCTCAAATCGGGGTGTCTAACAATAGGGGCCCCGCAAGTGGTTGGCATTCTATGAGAACTAAGGTAAAACCAGCAAGTTTCATAAGTTGCCTCTTTCAGGAAATCTGTGTCGGTGTGTTTGTGTCTGTACGTCCATGTGTTTGTTTGTCATCGTGTCTACATGTTTTCGGGGTAGGTGCACTTCCTGTCTTTGGCGGTTCTCACAATTTGAGATAACACAATTTAAGCAGACCCATCACAACTAAGACTGAGAGTTCCTGCCGGCCGAGATGCTTTGCTACCTCGCTGCTTTGTCGCAATTGAGCTTGGGCTCTGGCCTAGTGAATGGCCGCAGCAAATATGAAGCCAATCGGTACAGGTTGCGCATGGTCGTGTGGCAAACGGGCCCATTGAAATCTTCACGCGGTCGATTTGACGGTGCCGACATTTCTAGACTTGCTAAAACGGGGTGTCCCCATTTTGAGGCAACTCTTGAACCAAACTGAACTCTTGATTTCTTTTGGGCTGCGCCGTCAGTTGCCTCCGCAACCAAAGGATGGAAGCTTCAATGCATCCTATAGACTGTACCGTAGCTGTAGCATGAAAGACCTTGTCATCTTGGCTGTACCGAACCTGGCACTCTTCTCTTCACAAAGTGGCCAAATAGAGCTGGGTGTTTTGGTGGCTTCTGAAAACAACAATGGATACCAAGTATTGGGAAATCAACCCTGCCATCTATCCGTGATCCTTCTGCATCATCGTTTGAAGACGAGGACCCCCGACTAAACATGCGACAATAGTTTCAGGCACTTACAAAGCACAACGCTTCTGTCGCAATTCTGAAGAAGGCTTCGGTCCCATGCATGGATCCATGAAAAACACATTGTTCATGGCATGAGACTGAGACGCATTGTTGCAGTTGACTCCGGATTCTGAATCGCTGTACTGCTGCAAGTCAATTTCGAACGCTTGTAATTTGCATTTCTCTGACTGGTGGGTTCAAAACAAAATGGTTGTTTGTTCTAACTTGCCTGCCCCTTTAAAGGAGTAAACAACAAATAGAAACTCAAGACAAATGCAAGTTCAGTTCTATTGGTTTACAAGTTAAACGCTGCAAAATTTCAAGTGTGAAACCAGAAGTCAAATTAACATCTTGCTTTAAATTAGAATTAACATAGGGGTTCCTTTCCAAGTACGAGTTTAATCAAGATTCAAATAGGATCTAATAAGGACAAACAAGTTTTTTGCTTCTTCTAATGTGCGAGCCCCTCAAAAGGAGTGACCCACCAGTACAAACCCAAGGAACATGCAAATTCCATTCCAATTGTTTACATTGCGTTGTTTTAAAATAAATAGATCTTAAACAGTACTTCCCTTCCAAGTAGGATTTCAATAGATTTTACTTAGAACTCAGCTTTTTTTGTTCATTTCAGTATGTTCCATGTTAGACAGGACTTCATTTCCCAATATGATTTCCATTAGAGCTTCAGTATAGCTCTTATTTTGAGTCAGACTTTCAACGGGCATTTGTCCCAATTCTGAATAAGAATTCCTTTCCAAGTAGGATGTTAACTTGAATTTAATTCGAACTGAATCCCAATTCAACACTCGAGTTCTGAAAGTGGCTTTAAATGGGAACTCATTGCCAACTATCAAGGACTCTAATTATATGTTGATTGTAATCTACATATAATCCGGAAAGGAAAGACAATGTTGTTTATTGCGGTCAATTTAAAAGTAATTGAGAGTTCCTGTTTTTCAGGCGTGATCACTACGAAGGTCAGGCGTCAGCACCACCACCCCCCCCCCCCCTCTCGCTGCGTTGCTTCCAGTCACCACCACCACCCCCCCCCTTCTTACCTTTGACTCACCTCAATGTCTAACCCCAGCCCCTTCGCCGCCACACCACCCCCCCCCCCACCCCCCCCCCCTGCACTTCTTTTTCCCTTCGCTAGAACCACCACCCCCCCCCCTCCCACCATCTTTTCCTCACTAGATCCACACCCCCCCCCCCCCCCCCCCCCCCCCCCCCCCACCCACATCTTTTCCTCGCTAGAACCACCTACCCCCCCCCCCCCCACCTTCTTTTCCTGTCAGGTGCCACCCCACCCCCCCCACCCCAAAAAATTGAGAAAGTAGGGGGCCTGGGGGGTGGTCTGTTGATGGTCCCCTGTTATGTTTTTTATATTCATCTCAAACCTATTAACCACCTTATTCGTTTTTAAAAGAGGGTTTTTAGGGAGCTTATTTATCGTTTTCGTTAAGGTAATCATTTGGGTAAATTGTCACCTTGTTCATTGTTGGGCTGGGGGCCGACATTTTTTTCATTTGAAAGAGTTAACCCTTTTAGTAGTTATCAAGTTCTGGGGTGTTGCTGGGTCGTTTGTTTTCTTTGACGTTTATCTCTACAATTATTTATTTTCGATCTACACCCTTGACCATATTTATATATTTTTCCATTTTTTACATTTCCAAATTCATCAATTGTTTTATCATAAAGGCATCTGTTACATTTGAAGAATTCACCATAGTCTTCTGTTGCTTTTTCTTCTGTCATTCCATAATTATTCATTATAGTTTGCTTCACAACCATTTCTTAATATATCTTAACAACTTCTTTTTATGTGATTTTTATGTGATTGTCTAGCTATGTTTTATAGGTTAAAAGTTCAGTAT